ACCACTACTATTATTCATTTTTATTGTTATCACCATTATTATTAATGTCATCAATACCATTATTACATATTTATTATTATTATTATTATCACAGTAACACTATTGTTATCATTATTATGCATAAGTCAAAGCAAAAATAATTCGTTTCATTCGTTTCAATTTATTTCACATCAAAATATATCAAAATTTATCAATATCAACACAGCATAATAATAATAACAACAAATTCATGATAATAAAATAATAATAACAATAATAACTGTAATAACAATATTAATGAACATTAATAATAACTACAACATCAATAATAATAACAATAATGGCAACTGCAGTAATAATAACATAAATAAAACAATAATAATAATAATAAAAACACTAACGACAATACTAACAATAAAAACATCAAGAATTGCATCAACTAAAATAATAATAATGTTAATAACACCTCCCCCCCTCCTCCTCAATCCACCCAGCTCAACTTAAATATATACAAATCATACCAAAATTAATTGATAATTCCAAAAAATAAAAATAAGGCCATACAATACAATAATAATGATGATCAAAATTCACAATTATAATATTAATTTAAAAAATATATAAAAAATAACAATAAAACTAAAAAATACACATTAGTTCATGACAATATTAACTCATTTTTTTCATTTTCATACAAAATTCAGTGTAATCACCCATTTCATCAATATTAAACAATAATAAAAACTAACGTCTATTACTCGACGACCCACCACCACTACTACTACTACTATTATTACCACTCTCCAAATTCAAATTCCCACCCGCAACTCTCGCAGCCACATTCCCCCCTGTCGCAGCACTCTTCCTGCTGCTCGACGATAGCCCTTCCACTCCCTCCATGCCCGCACCACTCGATCTGCAACATTACAATAATAACAATAACTACCGTAATATTACTTATTACTAACTATCTATTGCTATTATTACTACCACAATTTCATCCACTGTTATCAAACTATACCTATAATAACATTAATTAACTATATCTGTAATACTAATTAACTATATCTATACACTATAATAAAATGCACGCACCTTGTATGTACCCTTTGCGAAACAATTCTCCCGTTGTCTCCATTATTATTATTATTCCCTCCTTGCTCTGCCTTCATCTCCACATCGTTATTATCATTGGTTGATATTTGCTGTGATGTCGTCGCCATATTTACATTATTATTATTATTTGCAGCCGCAATCCTTGCACTCTGATTTCCTGATGCTTGCTGCTGACTCGGTGAATCTGATGTCGATGGCATTACGAATGTTGCCCTGAACCAATTTTATTTATTATTACACATTATATACTATTAATATACATAAGTATCATTTTAAATTATTAATATACATATAGCTCACCTCGCTGGCAATTGTATATAACTGGTAGTGCCGTCTCTATTTGATTGTACCAATATTCTCCTGCAACATCTTCCTATTAGCCACGCCCCAAATACTGCGTCTCAAAATGCCAAATCAATTCTGCCAAACAACTCACTTCATCACTGTGCCCGATCCACTCGCCGGTGTCGCACATTGACCAATGCTTCGCCTACTTTCTCCTGACGCTCCGCCACCGCCTCCTGACATGGACGTTGGCGTTGTTGACGATGATAGATCTCTTTTGATATGTACCACATGTATCGGTTGTTGCTGAGAGCCGAGCAGACGCGTACTTACTTGGCCACGCCCATCTGCGCCGCCGCTTTGGCCGATTGCTCCACCACCGCTCACCAGCTGGTGAATTTCCTCGTTTAAACTGCCCGCGCTGTCCCGCGACGCGTGCCTTCTGCGTTTTTCCAGCGGTTCACCCAACTTAAAATAATAAAAAATCTAAAATAACTACAATAATAACAACAACAATAAATAAAAGCAATAATGAAAACAACAACAATAACACTAAACCAACCCCAAAATCTGAACCACTCACCTCACTATTCATTCTCTGATATCTGCTCCCACTGCCACTATTGGCATTCTGACCCACCGTCACCATCGCGCCCACGTGTGGCGTAGCACCACCACCCGACGCAGAATAACAGTTCTTCGACATCACTAAATAACATCGATTAATTATAATAATAATAACAATAATAAACGCAACTATACAATAATGATCAATAACAGTATTACCTTGCCCATGCATTCCACCCATTTGATGATGCTGCGTCGCCACTTGGGTAGCCCCTCCCACATGATGCGTCGCGCCAGCCGCGTGCGTTGCACTCTGCGGATGTGCTACCCTGACCATTTGAATATGATGTGATGCCTGATGTCCCATCTGATGCTGCGTCGGCGGCTGCCCAATCGTTGTTACTGTTCCCGTTGGATCGCTACCAACAGCTGCTGCTGGGTTGTGTTGAGTGCGGTTGTGGGTGGAGCCTCCGTGTTCTGCCGCCGCGAGCGCGAGCGTGCTGTGCTGCGGGGGCGGCGAATCGATCTGCACGAAATCCGAAGGACTATGCCAGTCGCCGAAATCACTGTAAGGCTCCTCTTTATGCGGTATAACTCCCCGCGGAATATGCACCTGGCCATTCACCATTGTTAATATCGATGCTGAAACATTACAACAACAATCATATTCGATCATAATCAAAAGCATAATCATGATCATAACCGAAATCATAATCATGATCATAACCAAAATCAAAATCATGATCATAATCAAAATCCTGATCATAATCCACCCTAATTGTGGTCAATATCATGACCACAATCGCAATCGCAATCAAAAGCACGATCACAAAAACAATGCCAAACTACAAAAAATACAAGCTACAAAACACAAACTACAAAAAGTCAACAACTCACGCCTCGTCAACGTCTTCAGCTCATACGCCGTGAACACTCCCGTTCCCCAGATGCCCTCATTCGCCGGCAACCCGTCCGAATCTAAACAATAAAAATAACAATAAAAAACAATAACATTACAACACAAAAACAGGCCACGCCCACCTTCATTAGCCACGCCCCCCTCTTCCTCTTGAATTCTCTGGATTTCCGGATTCGACGTATGTATAAAATTCGCCAGGAACAGGTCTAATTCCCTGACCGCTATGCTGATATGATACGGATTGACGCACAGCCCTGGGTACAGACACTCAGCGCACTTCTCCAGTCTCTCGCCGTCTGTACTCTCCAACGGAATGCCCTGCAATCTCACCCCGTTATAAAAATACCACAAAATACAGCACTAAACCCACCTTAAACAGAATCACCATCACCAAATCCAGTCTCCACACCTTATCGGCCTGTCTCAAGCAGTCAATCCTCCTCATTTTACCCTTCTGATCCGGATTCGACAACACGCAAATCGCAGGCCGCTGCCCGGTCACGCTCAACACGAAGTCTTCCCTACACTCCGGCTGGATGTCCTTTCGCAGTTTGCCCAACAACCGCCCCGCCCACTTTTGCTTCACCTCGCTGCGTTCGCCCTGCAATAATAATAATAATAGTAATAATAATAATAACAACAACAATAATAATAATAACAATAATAATAATAACAGTAAATATTTAATTCCCAGCAGTAAATAATGAAACCGAACCATCAACTCCTCCTTAACCAACTTCTCTTCCTCCACTGTCATTCTCTTCTCATTTCGTTTTGTGAATTTCCTCTTCGTGGCCTGCAGATTGAACCAAACGTAACTGAATTCCTTCACGTATGGCAAGAGCGCTTCTACGAACGGGTGAAATTCGTCCTGAAACGATTACTTTTACCGTATTACTTATTACAATAATTATAATAATGAATATCATAATATATAATATTAATAATAAATAATGGTAACAACATCGATCAGTACAATTGAAATTTGCTCACACCGATTTCAACACTATAATAATAGTAATTGCATTAATACCACTAATAAATAACCGCATTAAAGTACGAAAATAATAACAATAATAAATTAACGGCAATAAATGAAAACGCACCATGATAATCGTTGATTATTGTGTTGCATATAGCCGATTTGATTACTGAAATTCAATAATAATATTACTAATAAGAATTTGTAAAACACACCAACCACATCATCAGTAATAATAATAATAACTCTAACATTTCTAATCACAACACTAATAATCATAATACTAGAGCGATCCACTACTGAAAGCAAGCAATCCACTACAATTATGACCCAATCCATATTAGATTTACCAAATATTTCATAAACGAACAAATAAATTGGTAATTTTTAAAAATTTCCATCGCATTAACCGTCCAAATTTTACGCTTTGGGAAAGATAATGTTGGTATTTTTCGATTATTTTCCATTTACGATAAATTCTTTTGTGGAGTTCTATGGAATACATCAGGAATTTTTAATAGAAATTGAAAAACTGGAAAGTTTATCGGCAAAACTTGGCTTCCAGACAAAAACATTTCAAAATTTGGCACCGTCCACCAGAAAAAATTGGCCCCAAAACAAGAACAGACTCAGCGCGCGAACGATCTTCTTAAGACTGAAACTGGCAAGCACGCGACTTTGCGTATGCACGCGTTACTTGTTGTTGAGCACAATTGTGAGAGAGTGCGCGTGCGCTTTCGTCGCAGGACCAATACGTATTGATAAAGCGGAGATAGAAAGATGGCTGTAACGAAAACATCGCATTTAGCGCGCAGACGCAGAAGAGACGCAGACAGTGAAAGATAATTGATTCAAAACTGACGACTGCAATGTATCCGTCAGCGAGAACACCGTGTTTAGCACAGCAACGCACGAGAGACGCAGACAGTGAAAGTTTCATGTGCCTGGAATTTTCTGCTACCAAATGTTTCTTGCGCTCACGAATGCGAATTCAAATCCTTTCGTGCCGAGACCCAACCACCACATCTTACAGCTCAATTGCGCTCGCATTCTCCCCCGCAGCCGAATTCCGCCTTAAACCTGCTAAAACTTCCCGCAGCGGATAAAATATTGCCCGGGTAAAATAACACATCAACGATAAACACAAAACATGGTGATATATCAATAATGAACAACACATTTATTAAAATCAAATCAAAATATTAAGCTGCTAATGTCAATACCTCTATGATACCCCGGCAAAACCGCCCGCAGCGGGTAAAATATACAATAAGAGTAACAGATACGGTTCACACTATATGAGCAAGCATGAAAGATCGTGAAGAAACGCATAATCCATGTTCAAATAATGCATGATCCATGCTCAAATCGTGCATGATCCATCCCATCACCAAAACATTCAAACAGCACCAAAAATGCCTCGCAGATGTCTCTAATCGCCTCAAGACATCCTGTGCTGCCCTCAAGTCAATTCGGTTGCTCTTTTCATAAAACTCTCTCCCTCCTCCATCCGGGTCATACCTCATCTCTCTATCTCTGATCATCCTCATATCCCAAACTCTTCTCACAAATCCTCTATCCAATTCGGATACTCCATCAGAATGACCTCTAACCTCGCCTCTCCAGCTCTAGCATCTCCTATACTCTCATCACATTTCTCGTCATCTCTCCGCCTTATCGCCCTCTTATCAACTCGTTATCACTAACCCACTGATAACTGCCTTCTGATCAGTTATATCTTGATCTGCGTGTTTTCTCTGATCACATACATATCGATATCCGATCAGACCAATCATTATACTATAACAAAAGATCATAAATAATCTTATTATAACAATAAACAATAATAAACTCGTATGTCCTTTGAATGATATCTACTCAAAGATATCCCATCCCGCCCTTCCCATGACTACTTCCGTTTCATTATTGCTTATGGTCATGTCATATCACTCCTATTCACCCTTTTCCTTTTACTTATTATTATTCCAAATTATTTATTATTATTATTTTAAATAATATTTATTTAAATACAGTTCTTCCTGAATTCATTTTTATCCAATAAAATATCTGTGATAATTATAATTATTAAGCGTTATTTATTACACCAACCCTATCACTATCATTCTTTTACCAATTTATTAATTACTTTGATATTCATTTATTTCGATTCATTTTCAGAATTTTTAATTAATTCTATTATAGTATATTATCAAAATAACACCCACCTCACCATTGTCGTTGTCCACTTCCACAATATTTACCATAAAATGTAACTTCGAATTTTCCCATAGAATATTCACCAAAATAATTCCACAATATTTACTATTTGTCGAATAACATTCGCATATATGAATACAATAACGTCATATTTAGCATATACATACCCAAACCACACCATTTTAAACGTCTTCTCGTATCAATATCACCCTTTAACCTATACGTCCTAAATTAATGACAAATTATAAATAACCTTATCACGATAACAATTATAATTACGCGATATCAATATCAATAATAATAATTAATAACAACAACCAAATTCCTAATTACTATAAACCATTCAAATCAACCTAAAATTACGAATCCTTAAAAAAATCAATATAAAATGACGAATCCTAAAATACAACAAGACCCACAAAACAACTCTACCAACACATCACCCACCCACACAACACAATCCGATCCAACAAAACACCCGACCGCACCAAACGACTGCAAACCACAACAATGACAATAAACCACTTCAATTCTTAACATATACCCGTCTGTTCCCGCCAACCGGCTGGTCGCCCGCCTTCAATCGATCAATACAATTCAATTGATCACATTTTGATCTATCACAGATCAATTTTATCGCGATCGCACCAAATTTCCATTCAAAATCACTCCACTCCAATTCAATTGATCTTCATCGAAACCTTATCAGCTTGTCTAAATCCTACTTTATCACTACTGATAACACCTTATCAGTAGTGATAACACCATATCACCACCAAACACAGCAATTACCACAATAACATTAAATTATACAATATCTATAATAATATACAATAATAATAATAAAAATAATTCAGATTCATTCTCAATGTACTCTAACACAGCGCCAAGCAGCCCATCGCAGTTCACCACTCAAATGCAACCGCCCAGCAAAAGAAGGTTATTAACAATAATAATAAAAAATACAATAAACAACAATAATGATAAAAATTCAGCTGTCTCCGTGACGAGCCCGAATCCAAAGAGAATATCGACCCTCAGAGACCCGTCGAATCCAATAATGCACCTTCTAACACTGCTACCAGCAACACTTCATTTCGCGAACAACACTTCACCTTATTAAGTAATATTATTACAAATATTATATATAATAAATAATGTATAATAAATAATAAACACAATGACAATACATTACAAAAATACAGGTAAAAGTCAACGTATTGGCTTCCCAATGACGTCATACTTCCAACACCCTGGAATGGATCCCTCCTTCTACAGGCAATACGCTACTTCACAACAGGTAAAACAATAATAATAAATAAATATATATACAATAATAAAATATAAATATTATATATATATATATATATATATATATAATTAATATACATAATTCAGCATCCCTTCTTGACGGGTACAACTCAAGAAATGTGCTTCACCTTCCCGTCCAGCGCAAATCAATCCGAACAGGATTCAGGATTCCAATCGGTATATTTATTATTATATATATTATTTATTATATTTATTATTATACATATTATTTATTATTATATAATAAT